AAATCTTATACATGGTTTTTGTTACATGCCATGTGGAGGTTACTGGAATAGTAAAAGCATAAAAAAATAATTTCCTTTAGGAACTTTTAATTGTAGCTCTCATTCACTTTCTCTAATTGCTAAATTAACCCAACACACACACACACACACACACACACACACACACACACAAATACATATAATCTGATTGCTACAATGATGATGTTTTAGAATTAAACACTTAAAATATTTATAGATTTTGCTTATGAAAACTAGAAGCAATAATTCTAGTTTTGCCTGGCATTTTTATGCAACCATCCAGAAAATAAAAGCCAAAAGTCTCCACAGTACAGTTAATTAATTAAATATACTACCTATTTCATGAGCTGACAGTAAATCTTATTTCACAAACAATCTCATAATGACTTGCTACCTTGTAGTCAAAAATGAATTGTACTGCATAAGAAAAAGAATGAAGGTGTTCTTTCCTCTCAAAAGGAATTTTCCATCTATTCTTCAGAGTTCCTTCTTTTAAAAAAAAAAAATAGCTTGGACAGTAATTCAAAACAGCCGGTGCAAAATACTGTATTTATGAAACACTGTACCAGGACCGAAACGCCCTTCATATTTCAACATACTTTACAAGAACATGATCAGGAAATTATTTTTCCTGGGGAATAACAATAAAAGAGGGCTCTTCTCTGTAGATTCTTTCTAAAATATGCCTGAAAAAAATTTTAGGCCTAAAAGACTAGTCTTAATCACCTTAAGGAAAACATTTTTAAAACTAATCTTTTCTTCATAGAAATCGTTGTGGTCATGTAAACTCGCTTAATACAATATTCACTGCCTAAGCAACTCACAGAACTGCAGTATAATTTAGCCTTTGATTTAAAACCCAGTAACCCAGTGACTTTTGCTCTTTAATTCCTGTTATTTCACATGTTGCTGAAACAGCCTTTGCTGAAACAGCCTTTAGTAGTACATAGTGGAAGGGGACAGAAAACAAATAAAGGAAAAGAAAAAAGAGAATTAGAATATATTAAGAAGAAAAATGATTAGACAAAGTAGTTTCCTTAATGAAGACAAACTACCATATTTAAAACCTTAAAAGAATAATAAACTAAAATCCCTTGGTGGGCTAGAAGTTCAAAGTCAAATTAACTACTCCATAACAATATGGTTGCTTTTTTCTCCATTTCAAGACCTTCATTTTTTCTTAATCTTATTAATCTTTGTGTAGATGTCCTAGATTACAAGACATCTTCCACACTCTCTTAGCCACAACTGGGTTCTAGACACAATTTTAAGAAGAAAAACAGAACGAAGTTATTTTGATACAAGTTCTACATTTGCACTTAAATATGCCAGGAGAATTGAACATGGCTTCCTTTCAGATGTTAAAAATATGTTACATGTACAAGGAGTTATGATGTGAGCTTCAGAATCACATTTTCCTTTATACCAAGTAATGAAAAGGTTTCTGCAAAAACCAAGGCTTCCAGGGCTTCAATTACCTTATCTGTGGAGTTCTTTTATAGCTTGGATGGGCCTGAGCATATCTGGAAGCCAGTAGACCCAAGGATTTTTCCAGCACTTCTGCTAAGATCTCCTGGGCTAACTTAGGGGGAAGAATGGTCCAAAGATCGTGTTGAAGAGCCCAGTAGAAATAATGCCACATCTGCAGTGCGAAGGAGCATCTTTCCCCCTGGCAAAACAACCACACGTTAAATAGAATCACATCTTCCAAAACGTCAGTTCACTTCCTGTGAACCTAATTAGTTCAAGCTGAAAGGAAAAAGCTGGAGAGCCTGACACACTAGATGACCAAGGAAGATTTTTGACAAGATGTTACACATCCTCATTGAGAAAAAAACATATGTTTTGTTTCAGCTATGAGACCAGATATTCTAATGCAAATTCAGACCATAAGAACTGAATTTAGCATATCCTTGACTTACCTATTCCGGGCCCAGCATTGTAAATTTACTTTTAAACAATCAGCTTTATAGCTGCTACACAAGGTGTGCTGGCTGTTTTAAGACAATACACTAATTCCTGTAAAGCTAAAATCTGTTTTAGTTTAAAAGGTATACTTTTGTATTAGCATCACTGAATAATTATATAAATCTTTTAGATTTTACATTATAAAGAAATTTAAAAAGCGGCGATGAACTTGCAAGCTATAGCTTATCAATATTCATGAAACCAACTGGGAAGCATAAGTAATGAAGATTATTATATTAGACTACTTCACCAATGGCATCTCAGTAACCAACAACACAAACTAGGAGTAGTCTAATTTTATAAGGTTTCCAAAAGCTGAAGCACATATTACCATCATGTCTTAGGGTCTTCATGGAGCCCATAGAAGGGTGACATTCTCTCTTACCCAACACTTTACAGACTCTTCAGTATACTAAATTCTCCCTGACTGCAGAGGAGGACCCCAAAGTGGCCCATGCCAAGGGGACCAGTCAGAAACTGGAAAGAAGCCCTAAGTGATTTGCAAGCATTAATTAGGTAACATGCTTTTGGGGAGGTTTGCTAGTTGTTTGACCTCATTTTTTTTCAAACTAGATCAAAAGACTTATTTGAAACAGAAGAGTAGAATGCATTCTTCAAAAATTATCCCTATTATGTTAATATATCAAAAATTAAACTAGTAAAATTTCCTACTTTATCTCTAAGTACAGTAATTCACTTTGACATAAAATTTTTGCTTTCTTCACTGTTCACATTTCCTAATAAATATCCATCTGAAAAAAATCTGTTATTCTCTCATACCAAAACTGATAGTTTCTTATGAAGATACAAGTATTTTCATCATGTATTGTTCTCTGGCAGTTTCCTTGATTACTAAAATAATTTGTAGTCACTGTAAAAATAATAATTTATTTATTATCTATTGAATTTCAAATGGAACTGATAAATAAGTAGAATTGTTGCTCCTTGCCTTCATTTTGTCTAGAGATAATTTCTTATTTTCTTCCAAAAGAACAAAAGAAATCAGTCACACCTTAAACCATGGAAATTTTTCTTCAAGGACTTCATACAGTCTGTATGGAACACATCTTGGAGTATAAATTAAATTCAACAAACGTTGCCATAAATTTTATGTGGAAATTTTACCCTGTTAAATGTGTGCCTTTACTTTACCCAACCAAATTTCAAAAAAAGCGAAAATAAAACCCAGAAAAAAGAAAAGAAAGAGTTGTTATTCCTTGGATAGGAAACTTAGCATCAAAGGTCGGAATCAAGTTCAAACCAAAGGAGTCTTAGACTTCTGGCTTGAGAGTTCCTAACTAAATTGGTACATCTAAACTGTACACCTAAATTGGGTCAGAAAAATGATCATGATAAAGCAACAAAATTACAGCTCCTTCAGCTTCCTCTGTGGTATGTGTTCTATGATAGAGACTCCTTTATGAACTGAGAAAGGAGTTTTAAAGCTTGATTCCTGGGCTCCTCACTCTTCAAACGTTGTGTATAAATGCATAAGTGTAGTGTCTAGTATGAATAGCTCACCCTAACCTTTCCCTTGACAATGAATAGGTATTCATCATAATGTGATCAACAAGGTTTATCATAATCATCAAAATATGAAGTGTCAGTGTCTTCAATATCTACCTTTTGGTCATAAATGAGGAACTAAAATATAGCTTTATGAATACAGATTTAATCTTCTAGAGATAAATATAATACTCCTTTTAAGAGTTTAATAAATATAAATTTCATATTTCTCAAAGAATATTCCAAAAACTT